TCTGCTGGCCTTGATGTACAGTATAGACATTGTACTGCAGTACATATTGAAAGCTGAAGGGGCACTAATATCATTCAAATACAGTAAATATAAACATATTAAATTGTTTAACACAACACTGTAAAAATAAAGAAACAGTTTTGTTAAACTACAAAGAGTTTAACGCAGCTGGCTTTTTTTAATCCTTGGAGATCACAAAACAAAAGGATTTTTTAAAGAAAGTATTGGTTTAAAAGGAAATTACTAAGAGGAAAAGATTTGTCTTTCGTTGTATAAAGGTTAGTAAGTGGATTAGCAATCCGTCCTTCTAAAGTATATACAGAGGTTTGGTAGAAGGAGCAAGTTTCCTTTTTTATTTTGCTTTGTAATGGCAGATGGGTTAGTGTGGGACTTATCTGGGGAAGACAGAAAATTCTTCTAACAAGAAAACACAATGTGGTGTGTAGTGTAGTCGTTTTCCTACACTTGAGAAAAAGCAATAAATTCAGGCAAAGTTGATCAGCAGTACAAGATGTCCCACGTGGTGGAGGATGTAGGCACCTCCATTATGGTAACAGATAGGGAATCAAAAATGAACATTTCCTTATGAACAAGACTGAAAGACTGCAGAAATCTTCTGAAGAACAAAATGAACTCTTCAGCAATGGTTTTACCATTAATATAGTTTGTGAGGACGTGTTGCTGGTGTTCCGTGACTCCAATGGTCCTGTGGCCTTGTGAAGGTTTTCTTGTTTGTCATAAATTGCTACTGAAAATTATTTTAAAAATGTATTTTACATAAGCTGTTCCATTGAACTGAAGTCTATATGGATACTTTTCTCATTATACTTATTGTTGTTATTATTATTATTAGTAGTAGTAGTAATGCTGCATTTGTTTTAAAATGTCTAGTTTATTGTTTGAACATCCTCCTTTTAAATAAAAAAACAGCCTGCTTAAAATATTTATGTTTAGTTTGTAACAATTTTATTCTGAAACTTTTAAGTCCACAATTGCTTCCTCCATCTTCATTTGGAATACAATCAGGTCTTGACTTTCATGATGCACATTAAAGTCCTCTCCATATCAAATATTGATCCAAGCTCATTTAGAGATTCCCGGCCAGAATCTGTGACCTGAATAAGTACTAGGTAGCTTTTTGCCCGTTATCACTGCTTTCATCAAGTTTATGTAACCCTCAGCAACTTCAGACCATCAGAAAACACTGTTTCACCCTGTAGGTCACTGTGCTGAAAGAGGATCGACCCAGGAGAAAGATCAAACATATTTACAAATCCATTCACAGGTCTGATAAATGCTTTGATCTGTCGCTGGTTTGCCTGGTACTCAGTCGGTATGTCTGCTGTCCTCAGATATTACATGAAAAAGAATACAGTAGGTCTGTTAATTCCATGCGTGATGAGTGCAGGTCTGCTTTGCTCTTGCCAGGATGTGATCTCCATCACTAGAGCTCTCTGCATGTACAGTATGGTGTCGCTACCTAGACAGCATTGAACTCGACCATGTCTGGACCATCTGAAACTACAGAACTCTTCACTGTCTCGGGTTCAGGGGGGATGATGTCATTTCTGTGACA